CAACTCTACATCTTGATTCTTGTCTTTATTTTACGCTCTTGTAGAAAAGCGCACGGCAGCACTATTTTTTATAGTAATTAATGCTTTTCTCAGAGGACCGAGTAGCACAGCATGTAAATTGCTTTATTTACAGTGCTATTCTATTTTCATTTGTTTGCTTCAGTAATATGTCCAAAGTGCCTTGCCGTCTACGTTGGAAACTGCAATGGATTGAAGGACCGCCTCACTTGCTACAGTGCTGCACAAGCGCAAGTGAAACGTCAGGAAACTGCTCATGCATGTAGGTCTTTGATACATCAATCATCAAATAACATTCAAATCTAAGCCAAATAGGCTTACTTACGTTTGTCCTGAACCACTCTTGCCTATGGTTGGCCTAGAGCAGCCGGCTCACCTGTGCAAGCCATAGCTGGTGGTAGACTCATATGTACAACTGCAATGCCATTTTGGCGAATACCTGGTCGTCTGGGAATAAAGCAGATGACATGCATGTCACGACCTCAAACTATGAGTTTAAGAGTCGAGATAAAGCAAAGACAAAAGATACGCCTCGTTTGTCTTAGATATCTGAGCTTGGTTTTGCCTTCAAAATTAGGAGAAAATGATTATTATGATTAATGGTGAAATTGCTAAAAACGACTACGGTAGAGGCAATAGCTTTAAGGAAGGAGAAGCCGAAAGTTGTTCAAGCAAATCATATGTTTATGTATCTCAGGATGTGGAGTATGCACAGATTTATACGCTGAAGAATCACCATGTCAACACAATACCTGCGCACCTCGTAAAGATGCTGTCGTTCGCATAGTTCGAAATTCTACCAATCCAGGCTCATGCGAGTAAGTCTTACCTGGACTGAGAGCAGTGAGTTATAGCAAGTACAAGGCATTTACATCTCAAACTGGAGAGCATACTATGTTTAGTTATCCTAGGTTGGAGCTCACCTGTCCGCCTGGTACGATAAAATACTTCGCTCGAAGTTCGTTCGATACCAACTTCGAAGTTTTGCCTGATGTTTCTGTTGATTGCCCTGACGATCCGA